AATCTAAGAAAACATGAATAATTAAGACTTGGGATGTGGAAAACACTATAAAAAGTAAAAACTAAAAACAAACTTACTTAATTATAAACTTCCAAGTATTGGCATGAAATGCATGGTCCATACTGGAAATAACAGAGCAAATATCCAATAATGAATGAATAACTACAAAGAAAGGTAATAAAAAACATTAGGGCATTCAAATGTCATAGAGTTTCTCCTATATTTAAAAGTATCTATTGAATAATTTCAACATTTGATTGAATTAAAATTGGTAATGCAGTTTGGAAATGATTGCATCAAAATAATTACTGAAATTAGTACTTTTGATTTACAGTTTTTATAAATTATGGAAAATTAACTTTTACAGTTTACACTCACCCTATGACCTGAATAAAACTAAAAATGTTCAGTGGAATAAAAGTTGTGCCTTATTATAGTTCAAATATTCTACAGATATAATTCTCACCCAAATTGACAAAATAAACTGCTAAGGAAAGAAACCTAACTAAGAAGAATCAAAACTAATTTACACAGTATTCACGCAAGGCTTTTACTCTGCCTCTGGTAGATTATTTGTAAGAATGGCCACCACAATAACTGCCCTTTATGAATCCATACTTTTCCACACTGACTCTGGGCTGAGTTCTATGACTTGCTTTGACCAAGGGGACAATAATAAAATTGAGGCAAGCAGAGTCTTGAAAAGTGCTTGCGTATTGGGTCTTGCCCTCTCTTGTTGCTCTTGGAAACCCTGAGATGACCATCAGGTGACTGAGCCAGGGTCAGTCTACCGGATGACGTGCATGGCTTTCTCAGTACTCCTGCCTCTGCCAACAGCCAGACGTGAGTAAAGTCACTGAACACAAACTCATGAGTGAGCCGGGTGCGCCATGGGGAACAAAGAAAGTTGCCTCAGTTGATCCTGCCCTAATCTGAAAACTCACAGAATCATGAATAAATAAAATAGTGGTTGTTTTAAGCCAATAGATTTCGGGGTGGTCTATTACAGAGCAGTAAGTTCCTGATACACTATACAAAACCAACTTACTCTTTTTATACCAAAACTTTGCCCTTATACATTAAAGTACTGTTGCTCAAACTCTGGGTCATAATCTATTAACGAGTGACGAAATCAGTGAAGTAGGTTACAATAAAAATTTTTTTAAAAATGAGATAGTACAGAGTGCATCACATGTAAAACGGGTATAATTTCATTATAATGAATAAACTTGTCTGTGGGTACATACACATTCAGAAACATACATATACACACGTATTTATGTGTATTCTGAAAAGGAATGTAAACTGCATTTCTTACTACGGGTTATGGTTAAAAATTCTGAAACCTACTGTCTCAGAATATGGACAACTTTAGAGGGTATACAAAGAAAGTTGCATACCTTTCTTCGTTCACTGTTGTGGGGAAACTACCTACTATGAACATTAACTGAATATGCAAATCCAGGTTAAGGTACCAAAAATCAATTTTGAAAATTCCAAAATTTAAAAGGTTAAAAATTTATCCGGTAACATTTAAATTATTTTTTTATGTATAATGATTAAAAAGATAACATGACTCATTAAAAACAATTTTAACTGATGTATGATTTATAATCATCATGTACATAATATACTAAGCAGAAAGTTTTCTTCACTTACCCATTACCATATTCAAAATACCATCATTCTCATCTACTAAAGGGTCCGTGCAAACCATGTCCAGTAGTTCCATTAGCTGCTTTTGAAGAGAGTAGGCCTCCTTGAAAAGAGCCTGGAGAAGGTCTGAAACTAGGTGTAAACGCCCAGAATACACAGATTCACTATTCTGACCACAAATAAAAATGAGAGGAAAAAACAAATCATAAAAAGCTCAACAGTCAAATTTACTTTAACGCATACTATTAGAGATCATAAATTTACTGAATCATATATTCATTCATTAAGCAAATGTTTACTGAACATCCATTATACACAGTATAATTTGAGAGATGAAAGCATGTATAAAATATGATTTCTAACTTCCGTGATTGTGCTAGAACTAAAAAGGAGATAGTATATAAGGTCAGGGGCATGATATTTTAGCACCCTGTCACCAAACAGAGGCATTAATTAGTGATTTTCATTCACCTAACAAACACTAAAACTTCCTGTGCCCCACAAATTCTAGGCCAGCTTTTGTGCCTTAAAACTGCCTCTGGAATATAGAGATGGACTAAATAAGGGTTAACTTCTCTGTATTTATTTAGACACAGGGTCTCACTCTGTCACCCCGGCTGCAGTCCAGTGGCATGATCATAGCTCACTGCAGCCTCAAACTCCTGGGCTCAAGCGATCCTCCCAGGTAGCTGGAACTACAGATACCTGACACCATGCACAGCTAATTTATTTTTATGGACACAGGGTCTCGCTGTGTTTCTCAGTCTGGTCTTGAACTCCTGGTCTTAAGCAATCTTCCCTTGGCCTCCCAAAGTGTTGAATTACAGGCATGCACCACCACACCTGGCCTGTTAACTTCCCTTTATAAAAGGAAGTCTGGCACCTAATGATTAAGGTGACTGATCATTGGTCCACCAATGCCACATGACAGAACAATTTCAGGATCACTGTGTCTCAACGCAAGTCCTTATGG